CTTTGCCTTCCGTGCTCACGGCTACTGAAATGTGGCCGAAACATTGTAATAAAAATACCACGCTTGAAACCGTTTAAACGTTGTTTTATTATGTGCACTGGTCGCGAAAACTTAAAAATATATATTACACAAAAACGTAACGCTAATAAAATAATAAGTAATGTATAGATACTAACAAACATACATTTCCAAAACATAAAAAGTAAACAACTAAACTTTTACTTTAATTCATTAATAAATTATTTTAGTGTTAAGCGCGACTCCCTTACCTCCTGTAGTAAATAGAAATCGGCATTTCAAGAAGCAAAAATAAATAAAGCAAAACGATGTTAGTTCTCAGAGCAATTAAGGGAAAAGTTACTTTATTTGTTGCACTTTAAGATTGATTTAACATTAAAAGTTGTTTAAAATATGTCTTTTTATTGGTAAGTGACAGGAGTAATTTATTGCTTTGCTCGTTTTATGTGACGAATGATCGTAAGTATTAGATAATGTTTTGGAGATTTGTGACTTTATTACTAAGTGCCATAGTTGTTATTAGTTTGAAAGTAAAAGTGTTTCAAAACTTTTTTCTCCGTTTGTTAGTAAACGAATGTAGCTATATAAGTATATATTCACGCGGACAATTTTTGCTTTAATTTTGTACGTATCCCTTTATCTAGTTACTATTGTTGATCGAAGGTTACCACACTAAAAATAATTATATATTATATAAAATCCCAATGTCACATTTAGGATTTCCCTAAACACAAAGAACATTTTCATTGCATTTTTTTTTTGTTTTGCCATATGTACTAGTGTGTTGCCACACTAAAAACAATTATAAATAAAATCCTAATGTCACATTTAGGATTTCCCTAAACACAAAGAACGTTCTCATTGCAAATTTATGCTAAGATAAAATGTCTTAAGAACCGTCAGCATAAACATAGTTTGCGCTATTCTTCGCCATTCTAACGCTATCAATCTTAGTAATTCGCAGGACAACAAAGTAATGGAGTGCAAGTAACGGCTCCTTTACGACTGCGCATCTCCAGATAGCCTACGAAGTCACATTAACCGATCGACTAATCCTTAAACCACTAAATGCCGAAGCCCTCGCTAATCCTTGACCTAAAATAGCATTTATACAAAGCGGAAATTAAAAAATTAAGCTGTCATATTGTATATACATACGTGAAGGTTGGAAAGAAGAAGAGACTCTGATCTGATGTGTACCCTGTCTTATTCTTTAGGTTCAATGAATCTTTCAAGTCACACTAAGGCAGTATATATGTGACAATTGGGGATAGTATCTTTGCCAGCAGCTAAGAATGTACATATTATTATATACGAGTTTTTTATTTATTTTTTGGTCAGGAGGAAATCGCTGGACTTCCGCCCTCCACTGGGGATGGCAGGCGGAGCATGTCGGAGTCGAACCGACAGACTAAAATTATAAAGAGTTTGTTTGTTTGGTTGAACGAGCTAACCTCAGGAATTACGTGTCCGATTTGAAAAATTCTTTCAGTGATAGATATCTCATTTATTGAGGAAGGCTAGTTATAGATATAGAGAAAGCTGTTGTTTATTTTCAATTGAGGGGAGGTTTTCTCTCACTATTTCATTTTATGAGGACGCCTAAATACTTCCAATCATTATGGAATTTGTTTAACCGCAATATATAATTTCGTTCAAAAGTTACACAGTTTTGTTTACACCAGAGTCACAGTGGTGAACAAAAATGTAAAAAATTCCATAAAAAATGAAAAATAAATGTTTAGCATTTTTTAAATATTTTTCCTTCGATAAAATTAAGCATAGATTTCCTCATTTCGATATGTGCACATTATAAAGAATCACACTGTATATTTGATAAAATTGAGCTCATGAGGCGAGCTCATGAGCTAAACCTGAGAGAATTTGGTAACACTAGCAGTGCTTCGTTGAATTTACCACCGGATCGGAAGCACGACCCACTGAGAGGGTCCGGCGAGAACTCAGTGGGCTGTGTCTATGGGCTAGTTCGCTCGTCGAACTCGTCGATTACAACGGACGATAAGACATGTTTTGGGCGACGGCGGCTTTGCGTTGTCTCGTCGCGGTCGGATAAGTAATTAGCGGCGACCACGATAAGAGGGTTTTCGTGTCGCACCGCTTTGTTGAAATAGCGTTCTGACGCTTAATCAATGACATGTTGACGCATTATATCAATCCCTACAGCATAGAAGATCATTTCCACTCATCTGACAGCCATCCAACCATTCAAAAACAAACACACGACTCTTTTACAAAGCAAATAGGCAGAACGTTGGAACCAAAGCATGTGGTATTCATGCTCAAATAACATACATCAGATTGCAAATGATTTTAGATGGTATTTATAAATATTGAAATGAAAGGATTTAAAAAAAACTTACTCAAAATAAAAAGGCCCAACTTCCTTCACGATCGGTACAGCTCCTTTCTGAATATCTTCAGCGNTTGTACCCTGTCTTATTCTTTAGGTTCAATGAATCTTTCAAGTCACACTAAGGCAGTATATATGTGACAATTGGGGATAGTATCTTTGCCAGCAGCTAAGAATGTACATATTATTATATACGAGTTTTTTATTTATTTTTTGGTCAGGAGGAAATCGCTGGACTTCCGCCCTCCACTGGGGATGGCAGGCGGAGCATGTCGGAGTCGAACCGACAGACTAAAATTATAAAGAGTTTGTTTGTTTGGTTGAACGAGCTAACCTCAGGAATTACGTGTCCGATTTGAAAAATTCTTTCAGTGATAGATATCTCATTTATTGAGGAAGGCTAGTTATAGATATAGAGAAAGCTGTTGTTTATTTTCAATTGAGGGGAGGTTTTCTCTCACTATTTCATTTTATGAGGACGCCTAAATACTTCCAATCATTATGGAATTTGTTTAACCGCAATATATAATTTCGTTCAAAAGTTACACAGTTTTGTTTACACCAGAGTCACAGTGGTGAACAAAAATGTAAAAAATTCCATAAAAAATGAAAAATAAATGTTTAGCATTTTTTAAATATTTTTCCTTCGATAAAATTAAGCATAGATTTCCTCATTTCGATATGTGCACATTATAAAGAATCACACTGTATATTTGATAAAATTGAGCTCATGAGGCGAGCTCATGAGCTAAACCTGAGAGAATTTGGTAACACTAGCCTTAGCGAGAGCAGTGCTTCGTTGAATTTACCACCGGATCGGAAGCACGACCCACTGAGAGGGTCCGGCGAGAACTCAGTGGGCTGTGTCTATGGGCTAGTTCGCTCGTCGAACTCGTCGATTACAACGGACGATAAGACATGTTTTGGGCGACGGCGGCTTTGCGTTGTCTCGTCGCGGTCGGATAAGTAATTAGCGGCGACCACGATAAGAGGGTTTTCGTGTCGCACCGCTTTGTTGAAATAGCGTTCTGACGCTTAATCAATGACATGTTGACGCATTATATCAATCCCTACAGCATAGAAGATCATTTCCACTCATCTGACAGCCATCCAACCATTCAAAAACAAACACACGACTCTTTTACAAAGCAAATAGGCAGAACGTTGGAACCAAAGCATGTGGTATTCATGCTCAAATAACATACATCAGATTGCAAATGATTTTAGATGGTATTTATAAATATTGAAATGAAAGGATTTAAAAAAAACTTACTCAAAATAAAAAGGCCCAACTTCCTTCACGATCGGTACAGCTCCTTTCTGAATATCTTCAGCGTTAGTGTAATTAAATAGATATATCTTGAAATCGAGTGCGAAAGGTATTTTTTCCCACATTTTCCGAACGTCCGTCTTCTTGGATAGCGCCATTTCCTATAAATATAAATTCGTAATTTCGGCCATTATCGCAGAATTTCTTGACTTTACCGAACATAAACATCCTTTGTCAGATACGTTACCTATTTATAAGGGCTTCTTATTATAATGGACAAAAGGGACCGGAAAGATCTTCGACGGGTTGTTGAGCGTTACGTTTGCATTAGGGTTATTTAAATTAAGATTTTGTTTTGGTTACGTACATTGCGTAAACTTGCGTATACTTGAGTNGGCCATTATCGCAGAATTTCTTGACTTTACCGAACATAAACATCCTTTGTCAGATACGTTACCTATTTATAAGGGCTTCTTATTATAATGGACAAAAGGGACCGGAAAGATCTTCGACGGGTTGTTGAGCGTTACGTTTGCATTAGGGTTATTTAAATTAAGATTTTGTTTTGGTTACGTACATTGCGTAAACTTGCGTATACTTGAGTGCACCTGCGTACACATGCGTACATTTGCGTACACTTGCGTACACTTGCGTACACTTGCGTACACTTGCGTACACTGGGTACACTTGCGTACACTGCGTACACTTGCGTGACTATTTCAATAAAACGAACTTCATTTCCTTTTGTTGATGTCTTATTGGAGTAAATGTTCGAGATTATCATCATTTCCTTTTACCATCGCCACCGCCCCTCGCCACCGGAGCAGAGCTCATCCATACTACCTAAAATCTCTGCGTGCATTTTTTTACAATTTTTTTTTGCTTAGATAGGTGAACGAGCTCACGGGTCACCTGGTGTTAACCGGTGCCCATAGACATTTACAACGTAAATGCCGCCACCTATCTTGAGTTCTAAGGTCCCAGTTTTTACAGTACAACGGCTGCCACACCCTTCAAAGCGAAACGCTTTACTGCTTCACGGCAAAAATAGGCAGGGTGGTGGTACCTACCCGTGCGGACTCACAAGACGTCCCACCACCAGCAATTACGCAGATTATAATTTGTGGGCTTGATGCCATCCATATCCACGGCATCCACACTTATTATCAGTTTTTTTTTGTCACATACGATTCTGCTTGGGAATTAGCTCGACACTGATGTGTTTCCGGATTGCTATAATATGCACTTCTTCAAACGAAGCTCAAGGTGATGTCAGTCCTTAGCAGTAGGTAGCGGCTGTTCCTGAGCGACATTGACTGCTTACTTAAGTACTTGGGTACAACAACAAAATTTCTTTTTTTTCCCCAGAAATATTATAATATTAACAATAACTTTGATGATTCTAATGAAGATTCGGACAAAGTCGCTTTTGTTGAAATACTAGGAAACGATATTGTTTTTTGTACTTGTAAAATTTTTGAAGATGTAGTCTGTTATATTTTATAAAAATCTTGTATTTTTACTGTTTTAATAGATTCTTGTCCTGTTACCGAATTATCATTTAGTTTTAAAATAATATACGAGTATAATTGAAATTGAAAGTATTCTGTTTCTTTTACAACTTCTTCGTTCGAAAACAATTTCTATTTAACGATTCTCTGTCATTTTATATTCTAAGTTCAATATAAACCCTAAAAAATTTAAGCAATTACTTTAAGATCAAAAGAAGGTTAAGTATGTGGTAGTAGTTAAATAGTTTTTACCTAATAATAGTAAAGTATACACTCTGACCAAACTTATTAATAAACAAATAAATACACAATTGCGGGAAAAAGTGTTTGTTTGTTGACATTCAGCTCGCTAAAACTCGAGAACGGCTGGACCGATGGACCAGATGGATAATTTTGATCTTGAATTATTTGTCGAAGTCCAGAGAAGGTTTAAAAGGTAGATAAATATGAAAATTCTTGGAATTAAATAAAGTTTACTGGTGGTAGGACCTCTTGTGAGTCCGCACGGGTAAGTACCACCACCCCGCCTATTTCTGCCGTGAAGCAGTAATGCGTTTCGGTTTGAAAGGTGGGGTAGCCGTTGTAAATATACTTGAGACCTTAGAACTTATATCTCAAGGTGGGTGGCGCATTCACTTTGTAGATGTCTATGGGCTCCAGTAACCACTTAACACCAGGTGGGCTGTGAGCTCGTCCACCCATCTAAGCAATAAAAAATAAAAAAAAGTTTAGGCCTTTTATTTATCGATTGAGGCACTACAAAGTCTGCCGCGTCACCTAGTAAATAATAAATAACTGGGAACAAATCACACTCGGTCCTCCGGCCCCAATTTAGGATTTTAGGCCCTGTTTTATGTATACCAGAGATTGACACACATACTTAGTATATAAGCCAGATAAAGAGCAAACAGGCCTGTTTATAACGCGAATGTTTGCCCGATCCGGGAATCGAACCCACTGAGTGACTGAATCACTTAATGAGGTTAATATATACTTAGCAACTTTATAAACTCAGTAACTTTTCTTTCGTTATAGGGAGCTTTGTCAGCTCTCAGGCGTGGGTATCACTATCCTACCTAATTCTGTCACGAAGCAGTCGAGCTTTCCGGTTTGAAAGTAGATTAGCTAATAAATACAATTGAGACTTTGGTCTCACATCTCAACGCGGCCTGTGAGCGAGTTCAGTCATGCACACAAAAGTTAATTTTTTTTTGGTGATTAAAAGGGTTGACGAGCTCACGGACTACCTGATTTTAAGTGGTTACCGGAGCCCATAAACATCTACAACGTAAAATGCCGCCACCCACCTTGAGACATGAGTTCTAAGGCCTCACTTTTAGGAGTACAACGGCTGCCCCACCCTTCAGACCGAAACGCATTACTGCTTCACGGCAGAATAGGCAGGGCGGTGGTACCTACCCGTGTGGATTCACAAGACATCCACCACCAGTAAAAAAAATTAATGCACGGTGTCATTAATATAGGGTTGTGGCGGGTGGCCATCCCAGAACGAGGACACAGCGGAGCACACGCTCGCGTACTGCCCCGCTTTCGCGGAGCAGCGCCGCGTCTTCGTTGCAAAAATAAGACCGGACTTATTGCTTCCGACCGTCGTAGCTACGATGCTCGCCAGCGACGAGTTCTGGCAGGCGATGCTCGACTTCTGCGAGTCCACCATCTCGCAGAAGGAGGCGGCGGAACGGGAGAGGGAGAGCTCTTCTTTCCTCTCGGCGCCGTGCCACCGCCGCCGAGTCGGGGGGCGGAGGAGGGCGTTTGTCCAGCTCCGGCCCCTATGAGGAGGCAGTCTCCTCCCGGTGATGGTCAAAGTGCGACCTAAGGGGGTTGAGGCTGCGCCGCACGCTACCGTCACTCTAGCGCGCTGGCACCAGGAGGACGGGGCGGCGCGTCGGCGACTGCGGACTGCGATGCGGTCCGCATTTTCGTCGTCGCTGTCGTCGCCGAACATACTGTGGAAGAGCAACCCGGTCGGCGGTGTATCGCGTTCCGACCCGGCAGGCTGGTTCTGGCCCAGCGGGGTATCCCGGAACACCAGCGGCATCGCCCGGGCGGCCTGGTAGGGCCGCCGTACCGCGGAGACCGACGTCGTTGGTCATCGACTATCGCCTCGACGACCCGTCGGTCGGGCGTCCTTGGGGTGGCGCCGCGTGTCTGGTTGTAGTGTTGACCGCGGGAACCCCCCTACTCTGACCGGGTTCTGACCCCAGACGAAGATCGGACGTCGGGTGTAAGAGTGCAGGGGAGTCGTTTAGTGGGTGGGCCCTAAAATCCTTGGGCCCGCAATCTGCTCTCAACACCTGCAGATCGTTGAGTCTCACATACCCCGCGCGCCCCTTATGCGCGGGGACCTCGTAGGAGGTGCGGCCCCTGGCCCGGAAAAAAAAAATGGTTGCCATCCCAGAACACAAGATATTTGACAGATGCCTGAATCTCGCTTATGACATTTTCAAGATAAGCTTGCATCTATACAAGTTCCGAACAACAACATTCGGACCGTCAGTCTACCGAGCAATATCACACGCTCGGTGGAAGATCTTCCCTTTGTCATATATCCAAAGGGTGTATTGAAATCGTTGCCGAAAACGAAGAGTGAATTAGTGCTAGTAACATAATAAATCCAATAAAATCACGGCCTAAAAGAGATAGATAAATAGACAAAAATTGTGGCCAGGCTGTAAAGAATTAGCATAGTAAATGTTGTGAAGAAATTAAATGTATCTACCGCTTATGTACTTACACGGTAGATACATTTAATTTAATCTGGGAGAAAACGGCGCGATACTATAACCCTTAGTGGCAACGCAAAGCCACCATTGCTCTAAACGTGTCATATGGGATCATTCAGATACACTCTCGGTGCTTTTAGGCACACCAAGCACCGGTCACCGGTGCTGCTAAGAGTGCGACGTACAACCTAGCCGACAAACACTGAGTTGAACGCCGGATCTTCTCAGTGGGTCGCGATTCCGATCCTTTAGTAGATTCGGCGAAGCACAGCTCTTGTTAGGGCTAGTGTTAGCAAGCTCGCTCAGGTTGAGCTCCGTGAGATCACCTATTAATCCGCACGAAGTAAGAATAGCCTCCTTAGCCTACCGATGGTAAGGAAAACATGTTCAGTTTAAAAGGAATTTTTTGGAAAGGGTGAATCAGTAATTAGAACAATTAGTATCAGCCCAGACAATTCACAAATAAAGTTTGATATATACCTACATATTATTTAATCGAAACGTATAATCAACCTATGTAATATCCATTATAGTCGACGTGGACAACATTGTACGCACAAGGATAATTGAAAAAATTAATATGGCACGTAAAGAAACAATTTGTCCTTTACAATCCGAGCGAAAAATATTAACTGAAATGACAAGCATTTACCCATTTGAAACTCAAACTAGCCCACTGAGTTTCTCGCCGGATCTTCTCAGTGGGTCGCGTGATAGATTCTGCGAAGCACTGCTCTTGCTAGGGTCAGTGTTAGCAACTCTCCGGTTTGAGCCCCGTGAGCTCACCTACACACGTTAGGGTGAAGCTGAAATAGCCTCTCAAGGCTATCAGCATAGGTAGGAAAAAAAAAAAAAAAAGAAACTCAAAATAATCCATTATCCGATTTCGGATTCGGAAATGGCTCCTTTAGACCTATTTTAAATCGAATTAATTTGAGCCAAAAAGAAACGTTTTGGGATCCATTAGAAGAAAAATGACTAATTCACAATGTTCATATTTTGGATTACGCCATAAAAATAATATTGTTTCAAAAAGTGCTATAAAGTATTAAGAACTTAGCTGAATGTCGCGTTGATTATATGAAAGTTTAAGGGAACCGGTTGCACAGTATTAAACAAACAATGGATATCGCTTTTAATTAGAGATTGGCTGAAGCAGCCAGGAAATATATGTAGAATTCGAGGCGCTCCCCTATTGTTTTCGGACATAATATAGGATGGAAAATACAGATTCAAATTCAAATTTCGCTGTGTTCATTAATTAATGTTCTAATATGAAAATTAATTTAATAATCGTGCCTTTGTCTATTATTGTATTATGCCACTTAGTGGTTTCCTTTGATTATAAAGGCGGAAGGGTGAAGAGTTTCACAGTTACTTTTTTCGTGTCAGGTACAATAAATGACTTGAGCTTAAAAATAAGAAGTACAGAAACATAACTTGAATGCTATCACATTTGAAGCATAAGCTTAAAGTCTCAGTTGCCTTCTAAAAGACGGCTAAAATCCACGGTCTATTTATTACTAAGCCGTGCGAGATAATAATACCAGACCGGTATGATTCAATCTAAGTGAATTGGCAGGGTAGTTCTTAGAACTAGAATCAAAGGTCGGATATCTCTATGACTTAAGCATGTTCTGTTGCAGTTGGTGGAATGTGTCTTATATACGAAAACAACGATTTCGACTAAATTTGTTTTTGAAAATATTGAAATAATTGATCATAAAAATATAGTGTAGAGGTTTTATTATGCAAAGGAAAAAATAAATAATACATGTACTTTAAAAACTAAACTAAACTAATAAAAAACATGAGTAAATCGGGCTGGCAGTTATTTTCACCTTTTTTATCCTGTTGATGTTTGTCCAGGATATTACATCGAAGTTATAAAATAATCGTATTGGCATTGGTCCTTCACGCGTTTGCAAAAATTCAAGATAATCAGATGTCTGAATTCGGCAAAAATGATGTTCAAGAAAATGACGTTTACAGACAAACTAACAGACGAAACTAACATACATATCAACATAATAAAAACGTGTATAAAACAAGAGTTCGTGTAAAGAAGGTTTTTTATGAAATTATAATAAAGTCTGATGTTAAGTAACTTGTTTAGAAAAGAAGTGGTTTTTGAATTGAAAAATTCTTTGGCAACACTATGATTTGAAACGCATTGAAAAGGAAAAAGCGTCACTAAAAAGATAAGTCCATACGTCTATAAAATTTAACCTGCGAGAGAATGAAGAATGATTTTAAAGGTTATACTTGTGCTGTGTGTGAATTTTGCAGATGTGTTTTTTTATTTTATTAAAAATGAATTTGGCTCTCTTCAATAGAATTGTATGCTATCTCGTTCTTGATACCCCAAACGGAGCAGAAAAGGAATAACGCTAAACAAGATCAAAGTTAAAGTCGAAATTAGGTTTCGTACTCTCCAATTTCCTTCTCAAAAACTAAACCGACTAAATTTATATAACGCGTGCATTACCTTCTTAAGCTGACTCTTCAAAATGGCCGGAAATATCACCCATCCGAACATCAAACCCACGAACGCGACAATACCGCTGATTGCGGCATATTTAAGCGGCTTAGCCAACTGCATTCTGTCCTCTGTAACAATTGCAGGCTTATAGGACACTTATAACATTTAATTAGATCTGTAAACATTTTGCACTGTAGGTTTTTAACTGTAAAAAAGAATAAAAGCGAGATTAAACTGTAAAATTTGTCATAATTATACCTACGGCTCACTATACCCGAAAGAACTTATTTTGATATTATACTAGCAGACCCGGCAGACTTCGTAGTGCCTCAATCGATAAATAAAAGACTTAAACTTTTGTATAAAATAAACTTAAAACAAACAAAAGGAATCCGTCCGACGGGAGACACATCAAAGGAAAAACAAAATTGTTATTTTTATTTATTTCCGAGTATTTTCATATTTATCTACCTTTTAAACCTTTTCTGGACTTCCACAAATAATTCAAGACAAAAATTAGCCAAATCGGTCCAGCCGTTCTTGAGTTTTAGCGAGACTAACGAACAGCAATTCATTTTTATATATATAGATTATAGAAGAAGATAGATTATTTTTAAATATTTCAAATAAAGATAATAAACGTGTCGTATACTTATGGCCTACAGATCACGTGCGATTCTTGTCTCTATTAGGCAAAGTGGTTTATCCTGAGCCAATTACTCGCAAGCCCATATTACGGACGAAAGAATTTAACATTTTTTGCCAATTTATCAGGGGTAAGAGATTTTTTTTTGGGTGATTTTAAATCGTACCGGCCACTGGATTAGGTTCGGTTTGCTCAAAGCACACTTCCTAATGTTATATAAAATTCGAAATACGTAAATCAATTTAACCTGCTTTAAATTTTCGCATCGATTTTAAACTTCGTTTTACGTAACGCATCGGGCTTGTTTGTGTATGATACAAAAAATTGATACGTGGAATTCATGTTTCGGTGTAAGTGACGGTATTTATGTTTTAACAGGGAATTTTAACAAGGCTGTTCCTTATTTATCTCGCTTTTGCAAAAAAACGTTGTCAAAATCTGCTGAGATAAACAGTTGGTATTCTATTATTTGAATTTGGATATTTAGATTTCGGTATTCTTTAGAGACTGAGCTCTCCTTATTATATAAGATATCAGATACTACACGTTGAACGCTATGAGCAATATGTAGTTTTTTAATAGTATCTCAACACTTCCCCAATTTTTTGCCGCCATGAAAGCAACTACATCGGGTTTGCTAAAAGATAGTAAGAGAACAGAAATCAGACACGCTAAGAGGTCGGAATATAGTCGGGATTAACGGATGATAAAACGCCCAAGAAAATTGTCAACAGAAAATTTGAACCGGTTAAAATTATTTAAAAATGAATGTAAAGATGAAACTAGGTAACAACTAAAGGCTGTTTTACTTTTAGCAAGCAGATAAAAAATAGGGGCACGCTTTTAGAGGTGGTTTATAAACTTAATATAAATATAGGTCAACAATTTATTAAATGAGGAACATCGGCCTAAGTCAGTATTATCATAGGACGAACAAAGTGGGCGGATAATAAGACGGTAGTTCTGTGTTTAAAAATTCTATGAATTTAACCAGTTTCTGTGGCGTAGATTATTTAAAAATAAAATTGTTTAAAAATTTTAATTGAGTGCAAACCATCTCATTTCTAGAAAAAAATAATTCCTTAGATTTTTGTCGAAATATGTAGATAAGCTCACGTTTAACATAATGTTAAGAGATTATCAGGGCTCATAAAGATTCTATGATTGTCATCAACCACATTCAACGTGAGGTTGAACCTTAATAAGTAGTAGTAAGTAACTAATGATGATGATGAACCTTAAGTTGTGCTATCTATCGATGGTCCCACCATTAAGCTGGAATTCATGACTTCTTAGCGACAAAAAGAGGCAGGACAAAGAGGCAGGACGATGGTATCCACCAGTGCGGGCTCATGCGCGACACTGCCCATTGAATGTCTGTTAAAGTCTATCGCGCAGGGCGAAAGGGGGAAAATAGCCAGATATTCCCTGAATAAACCAAATCACATGATTCTTCGTAATAGAATAGGACAGTTACGCTGATCCCATGGACAATATTCTATGGGCCATGGATCAAGTACTTTGAGTTTCATTTTGGTAGTGATTTCAATTGCTATTTAGATCTAAGTTGTTCCACGTTCAAGAACCAGAGTATAAAAATTCTTAAAAATAATCTAACTCCGCTCGGCAATCGAACGAGAATCTCGTGGTACACTATTCTAGAGAGCTAACCACAACTCCAACAATGTGAAAAAAAATGCAAAATTCATTTAAAAAAAATATTGCTCGGTGCCAGTAATATTCAGGAAGCCCTTTTAAAACTGCAGGATTCATGAAAAGCGAAGCTACTGTACTAAATAAAAGTAGGATTTAAGTGAAAGTAATAAATACGTACACTTACGAAGACAGTCCGCTTGTGAATACGATGGGAATGATACTTAACGGTTATTGCATTGTTTTTAATTTCTGGGCGGGGCGGATGGAGTACGGCAGCAGGTGAAAATCGATCGGCTAATTAATAAAGAATGAAATTTATTATTATTCTAAAATACCTTGGACGCGTGAACTAATTTTTTTTAATGTCGTTCTATTACAAACTAGAGGTCCCGCAGTAGTCGAAATTCGACTATAATTAATTGGAATTGTAAGTTTGTACACTATTATGATTGAATATGAAGACTACACTATAAAAAATATTAACAAAGACAAACAATATTTAATCTATTCTCAATTTGACAACAGACGTCAAGAACAAAAGTTTCACAACAAATAGTATGCATGCGTGTGTGCGTCAAATACATGGTATGTAGTGTGTGTAATGTTTTCTTTATTGATTTAGTGTATATTCTATGCATTATTTAAAAAAAAAATTAGCATTGTGCACTTCTTCTCTATATTCTCTATAAGTGTGGAAAATTTCATACTCCTCCGTCCGCGCAATTTTCGTAAAAAGGGATACAAAGTTTTTGCTTCACGTATTAATATATAGATAAATAATTTAATCTATTCATTTATTTATTTATTAGGCACATACGTATTACAAGCTAAAAAGATACACGATAATTAACAACAAGTAAAAAATCTGGCTTGTAATATTATAAGTCATGTGCGCACGACTAAACAAGACAAATGTGCTGAGTTTCCACAAAATGCTTCTTGCAATTATAGGACAAAACAACACGATAACGAAAACAATTTATAAACAATTACACTACTTAATCGACTACGTGGAGGATGCCCTAGAACATTTTTATAAACGTCACTAACCTGCATGTAAAAATATCCAACTCAGTTGACGACTTTGCCATTTCGTTATAGGTGCGAGACATTTGAGTAATTTTATTATAATAAGATATATTGTTTTTGTAAGTTAATAATGTAAACACATTGTTTTGGTTGACCCTACGAGCAAAGTAATTTATGAAAATAATTATTAGTAAAAAAGAAAACAAGCTCGATCTGATAGCTCCTGCTATTTGTAACCTTAATCTAAATTCGTTCAGCTTAATCTGGTTTTCGAAGTAGATGTTAATTGTTGTACATATGTAAGCCTTCAACTAGTTTAAAGGGACTTTAATTTTGAACAAAAAACATTCAAATTTAATTTTGTACTTAAATTATAAGCATTACATGAATCTCATGTTTGATGAAAAAAAAAAACCGATTATTTTGTGTATGATACAAATTCTTTACTTACCGTACCAAATAATAGCGGTCCACCCCATTGACTTTCGAATAAAAATGTCAATAAGTATATTTATCGAGACCATTTTTTTACTTAGATGATTTTCATAATAAGAAAATAGTACATTACGCCTTCGGCTCGGGTGGCAATTTTACACGCGGGAGCAAAATGTCCTACTTTTCTCTCTTGGTGCACATACTATTTTTTCTCCTACCAGGCCGAAAGTTCGTGGAGTACCGAGCCGGGGTACAGGGGCGAAGCCCTGACTCTTAAAATACCAATTTAACTGTTTTTTAATTTTTAAATAAACTACTACTAATTGAATAAGAACTGTCTGATGAATGACTCATTTTTGTTTAATACTTCACTATTAAATTTTATTGCCTTTTGTTTATTTCACTTTTACACTAAACACAATATTGAAAATTACCCGAGCACAAGAATGGCGGAGAATTTTAGGTGCGTGAGAGCAGACGTAAACACTAACGCGCATAAGCACTTGTCAATACCCAGGGAGGAAAAGTTAGACTTTCTTCCCTGTACAGCGGGAGGAAAAGTTAGACTTTCTTCCCTGTACAGCGGGAGGAAAAGTTAGACTTTCTTCCCTGTACAGCGGGAGGAAAAGTTAGACTTTCTTCCCTGTACAGCGGGAGGAAAAGTTAGACTTTCTTCCCTGTACAGCTGGAGGAAAAGTTAGACTTTCTTCCCTGTACAGCGGGAGGAAAAGTGAACTTTCGGCGTAGGTAGGAGAAAAAATTATTTTGTATTATTTCCATTTTCAATTAGCGATCGATCCAAATGTTTGTGAAGCAATTGGAAAAATTAGGCAAGTACCTATGTACGTACGTCAAAATTTCTTTACTAAAGAATAAGCTTGCATACTGCTTTTGAAAATTATTTCAATTCCGTTTATTTTTTGTAAACATTGACGGCGAATCAAAATTAAAATTGAATAAACAAAAATGAATGAGAAATAATAAACATAAACAGCCTACAATCTTTTTATTGTAAAACAAACAGTCTAATGACGGTGCGAGGTGTTCAATCCTATAATATTCTTAACTTATAGTTTCTAAATTGATACGTTCCTGACACGAAACTAAAGGAGTGATGCCAATACAAATTTCATGAGTTGAATTTATAATGTTCTAAAGAACGATTTCTTTTTAGCTTCGGCTGTCATGCGACCTAGTCGGTAATGACGGGCTTAGGAACTGATTCATGAATTGTCGGTCATTACGGAATACTTTGTACCTAATACTTTATGTTTTTGCGTTGCGAATCGAAATCATGATGCAGGTTTTTATGTCATTTTGTGTTTATTTTTGTTCGTCTACTTCTGATTTTTTTTATTTTTTTTATTCCTTAGATGGTTGGACGAGCTCACAGCCCACCTGGTGTTAGGTGGTTACTGGAGCCCATAGACATCCACAACGTAAATGCGCCACCCACCCTGAGATATAAGTTCTAAGGTCTCAGCACAGTTACAACAGTTACAGTTACAGATTTTTGATCATAGTCATATAAAGCCATGTATTGCATTTGACACCCGTCGTCGTACAACAGAAGACCTTCAAACTAGTGGTAGGATCTCTTGTGGGTCCGCACGGGTAGGTACCACCACCCCGCTTATTTCTGCCGTGAAGCAGTAATGCGTTTCGGTTTGAAGGGCGGAGCAGCCGCTATATACGCTATAACTATATGGAGACCTAAGAACTTATATCTCAAAGCTGGGTGACGTATTTACGTTGTAGATGTCTATGGGCTCCAGTAACCACTTAACACCAGGTGAGCTGTGAGCTCGTCCACCCATCAAAGTAATAAAAAAAAAATGACGGCTTCGAAATTAGTTGGGAAATTACGATGTGCCCTAGTGTTTTAAATTAAATATTTGGAAATTCGTTACGTTTCTTCGTCTTTTATGCATTCCCGTTTCGTTAAAAAAAAAAAAACTTAAATGGAAATGAGTGTTTGATGGAATTTTGGCATAACTTATATAAAACAGTAAAATACAATTTTTTGCTCTTTTTTTCAAACGATTTCTTTTGTGTATTATTATTTAGCAGCTTCGGTGTTATACTAATGTTTTTTTGTTTAAACTTTTAATAAGTTAATAACTAAACCGCAGAGAAAATATATTACAGGAAACCAATTTAAATCTTGAGTCTTTTCATTAATTATCGTGGAAATAGGGTAGTTAAATGGAAATAAATTTGTTAATCATCTAAATAAAAAAATCTAAACAAGAGATTTTTTTTAGTGTAATAAATCTGTTTATTTTTAAATGACCAAACTAATTAAACAGATCGATTAATTAAATAAGACACCGACAAAGTCGCAGTGAAACAAATAAAGCTAAAACACAATTTATTAAAACAAACATTTATTATTAAACTACAGATTAAACAAAAATCTTGACAAACAAAATCCTTATTAAATACGGATACAGGTGTTTTATTAAGTTTACAGAAATTAGCCGAAATCACGCATACGGTAATATTAATTTAAAAGACTGTCTTAATATGATAATGAAATTATTTTAATTAGGATGTAACCCTTTTACTAACTAGTCTGGCGACCCTAGACCGGAGGACATTGGAGGTTGTTAATCGTAAAACACCCATATTTTTCTTATTTAATGGATTTCGCCATTGTTACTACAGTTCGAGCGTCGTTTTACTTATTTTCTGCCGTAAAAGATACAAATTATTGTTACTATTTTATGATTTTAGAATGTAATGGAAACTTCAATAGAAGCCCCAATTTGGTTCAAAAAACACACAAACTAAACACTGACTGTTAGTGGAAATAAAAATACTAATGTACAACCATATCCACCACCCTGTATATAAAAAAATCAATTTTTCATTTAGGTACCGTTGACAAAGTATTTGTTTCATGAACCTATTTGACTGTTTACATTTTATCATACGCTTAGAACACTGTTGACGTGACATGAAAGGGTTGAACGAATTTCGCAATTTATTGGGTATGTACCTTCAGCGGTTTTTCGAACTAATTTTACTTCCCAGAAATCGTACAAAACAAATATATGTACCTACCTATGTTGTGGCTAAATATCATATAAAACTTTTAACCTTGTTGATTCTGTTTCGATAAATTTACATTTGTAACAATGTATTATTTGAAAAGTAGGTATGTAATTGGTTTTTTATGTTTGCAATAATATTAATGTTACTTATTGTTCAAATGTTCATGATTTTGTGTTAAATTTGTTCTTTTATTGATTGTGTTACGGTTGATACTAAAGTGGTGGAGTACGATTTATGTACAAGTGATAGTTGCGAAAAAGACAGAGCGCAAATTTCATTATTCTCGCCCGTTATCTATATATTAATACGTGAAGCAAAAACTTTGTATCCCTTTTTACGAAAATTGCGCGGACGGAGGAGTATGAAATTTTCCACACGTATAGAGAATATAGAGAAGAAGTGCACAATGCTAATATTTTTTTTAAATAATGCATAAAAGATACCTACATTAAATCAATAAAGAAAACGTTACACACACTACATACCATGTATTTGACGCACACACGCATGCATACTATTTATTGTCAAACTTTTGTTCTTGACGTCTGTTGTCAAATTGAGAATAGATTAAATATTCCTTATTGCTTGTTAATATTATGAGCTATGTTACAGGAGAACCCTACGCATTAAAACACATAACATTGACACACGAAATTAGTAACAACTCTATTATGAATTGTGTTCAAAATAAATTAAGATTATAATAATTATTATTATGGTTTTCAATACTC